GATTGAAGATACCGTGTCCCTCTTGTTTATTCCTGAGCCAAACTTGTACCCGGTTCGTCCTGTGTTCCCCGTTTACTTTCACTCTGATATCGGCATCAACAGCAGGAGCCAATCTGCGCATTGGCGACTCCTGTGACTTGTTAGCAAAGTGCAAAAGCCACGCTGGCATGTGATAGAGACATATGGGAAAATGCGCAAACCCGATATACCTACAGCAGTGCAGTGGAGAAGAGAGAGGGCAACCCAAACTAACACTTAACTATGAGGTCACTGTTTTTGTAGAGCTCAGGTGGCAAAACACCAACACCTCCAAGGTCAGCGGCCCACCCCTTTAAAGAGGTTTTTAGTCCCAAAAGACACGCTTCATTGAGATTATTCGAATGACAGCTTAAAATGGTCATCTGTACTTTCAGTCATACAGGGCTCGTTCATTTTCAATATGGTCTAAATATCTATATAACCCTGCACAATTCTTTCAAGGGCAATAATACATTTCATACTGAGTACATTTATAGCAGTGGTCTTCAAAGTACTAGTGTGGAAGCAGGTTTTCACTCCAAACAAGCAGGAGCACAACAGATTTGTATTCATTTATTTGGATGGGACAGTGTGTATTAAGGAGCTGTAAATGCACCAGATTGTAGCTTTTTGTTGCTAATTTCCAACTGTTGTCCCAGAGTCTCAAACACTCTAACACACACTCATTCAACGATCACTTATTGTACACGCTTTTAGTGGTAGGGGAAACCGTAGCACTCGGAGGAAACCTATGCAGACACAGGGAGAACTTACAAACTTCACACAGAAAGGCCCGTCTGGAGGTGAAATCTAGCCCAGGACCCTACATGCTAAGAATGAAAACCTGCAGCTACACAGCCCTTGGAGGAACAGTTTAAAGACCAAAGGTTAGGCTTACCATAGTTCTAAAATTCATCACAATTAAAGTTGAAGTCACATCTAGAGCTGAAACGATTAATCTAATAACTCAAATAATTTGATTATTAAAAATAGTCTATTAATTTCCGCTGCCTCGATACTTTGTATACGGTAGTTCATGTGCGGCATTTAGCCTTTTTTGCTCCATTTTGCACAGATTCTTTGTGTGTTACGCAAAGTGTTTACGTCACAGATCTTACGTGCCCTGCTGCCTTGTCTTCATTTGACAATATGAATGCAATAAACTGTGTACAAAATTGTATACAGTTGTCATTATAATATGGTTTTTAATTGATATTGTATATTTTTAATTAGGCAAAAATATGTTTTTTTTCTCAATTACTCGATTAATCGATCGGTGTATTTGATAGAAAAATTGATTGCCAAAATATTCGATAGATGCAGCTCTAGTCACATCATATCAGTGATGGGCCTCATAAATCCTGGTAACAGAGTTTTAGGCAAGGCAAGTTTATTGGTATAGCACAGTTCATACACAAGGCAAATCAAGGGGCTGAACAAAACAAGATAGAAACAATCGCATAAGGAATTAAAATATACACAGTGAATTATAAAGAGTAAAAATAAAATCCCTTAGTTGTATTCACAGCTAAACATGTTTTTAACCTGGATTTGAACATTGTCAGAGAAGAAGCCTGTCTCACAATTTCATGAACCTGCAAAAATCTGAAATTCTGCCTCCTCTTGCCAAAGTATCCAGATGTGTCCACTAACGAACACACATTGCCAAGACCAGCCCTGTAACCTGTCGCTGACTTGCTGCATGGTGTTCCCTGGTCTTTAATAAGTCAGCACTAGTTTGGAGCTCGGTCTGGAGCCTGCACAAGACCCAGGCCCAAAAGCTGGAGCAGAGCCAGCTGTGTGCGTGCGGCTGGCCCAGCTGCCTATGTCTCTCTGTGAGCAAGAGTCACTCGCCTCAGTTAAGACCCGTGGTAAATGGGTTCAACGGGCCGCTCAGGAAACCATTCATTGCTCTCACAGCCGGGCTCGCAAACACGGACAAACTTCAAACCGGGACTTTCACTGATGGATGTGGCGACAGGCCTCACACGCTGCAGCTGAGAGTCAGAAAGGAACCAGGCTGAGCAGTAAAATGAAAACAGCATAAACAAGTATTAAACAAAAATACATACGAAGGAAATGATGTCAAACAAGGAAAGATAGAGTCCTGGACAGACGCATGTTAACGCAGTTTAGCATCTGGATTGATAAATATACAACAGAGTTTTACTCCTTGTAATTTTCTCCCTTTCTGGAATGACTACGAAAAATATTAAGCTTGTGTCTGTATGTAAATCTGAGGCTTACGCTGCAAAAAGAGATATGTCCAAAATTGCTCCAATTTGGTAAGATACATTTTAATTCGAGCACAAATAATGTCTCCCTTGGACTTCTCGAAATAAGACTAAATGGCTTTGTCTCGTTGGCAACTTTTTTTTTAGACAGTCAGAATATCCTCAGAGAAGAAAACCACTTGATTTCACACGTTTATTACCTCATATTTGTTTTACATTTAGTTCTGTAATGCTTTTGAAAAAAATACCCATACTGTACCTTCCGATTCTACGCAGAGATGTACTTACTTGCAACTTTCATAGATTTGACACTTGGTCCTCGGACTCGATACAGAGGTGTATTACCAACTAAATTAACTTCTTTCAGTAACATGTTCAATATACAGTAGTAAAATATTCTGATTATGACTTATATACTATTTCATGATTGTTTCACCTATCCGCACAGGAAATAACACACTTCTATCACTCAAAACTTTCTTCCCTCATGAACGTGTCGAACGTGCAGGTCACATTGCACCAACAACTGAGATTGATGTTTACTTAAATCTTGATCTGGGTTTAGTCACATCATGTTCCTCCATAACTCTAAAGAAGCCGAGCACCCAGTTATGACAGAGCGCTCCTTCACTCCGGCAGAGTGTACTGAGACACCACTTCTTTTCCCTCAGTGGAATAGAGAGCGTCATTTACATAATCGTTCTCAATAAAGCGTTCTCAATCAAACATGGAAAAAAACACCAACTTGTACCAGGGAAGTCCAACAGGTTGATTATACAAAGTCATTATTTGGTGGAACTGAAGGTTGAAAGAAAGTTATATACTGTACATTGATGAATAACTAGCAAAACTTCGGTAATGCTCCACAGCAGTATGGAACCAAGCGGTATACTGGTTCATACATTCTGTTCCAGGACAGGTGCCAATACATACAGTATGTGAAAGTAGTAATTTTTGACAGAAATGTTGAACGTTGAAATGAAAGCCTCGTAGAGTCTTTAAATAGAGGCGTACTGTAGGTACTATCGGTGTAAATTAGCTGCTACAACAATGCATCTCTGGCTAATGTTTATTGTACACTGTCCCTGTAAAAAATAAAAAAAACAAACCATACCATATAAACTTGTTCTGAAAAGCTTTTTTTTTTAACATAAATTAGGCAATAGGGCAGGGCCAAAATACCCTTTTCTCAGTTTATTGACATCTATGATTGAGAGATAGCAATTATGAGACTGAAGAGTAGGACTTCTTGTTCTTTCTCCTAAACTCACTGTTTTAAACAAAGAACGGATCCAGGGAGAGAGTGTGTAGGTAATGCCTTAACTACATATGAAAAAAACCACTAGTTCACAAGCCATTTATTTTGACTCCAATGTTGTTGCTCCACTAAACAAGTATGTACATTCTATCCAGCTGCTACATGCACAAGATTTCCAGTCAAGATGTGCCTCGGATTAGAACAAATGCCATCCCCACCACCTAAAAGTCTCACTAAGTCTGCCTTTATTGAAGAATTGCACAACCGGAATCACCGACAAACCCTGTGCAATATCTCAAACTGAACCAACACTACTGGCCAGAATCTAATTTCCTTTGATCTTTATTAAAAACTACAAAACGACTGATCTAAAGCAACTCAAGACATATTGTTGTTCAGCTTCTCCATGGAAACTTCCATTGTTTACCTGCCGACTAAGCATTTATCATAGGTTTTTTTTTTTTTTTTTTACTTCAGTGTCATTGCAGAATCAGCAGAGCAAAGTGACGGCAGGTCTGTGCACGCAGCTCTTCACACTGCAGTGACTGAGGGGTATAGATCGTGGGATGGTGTAAAATCCCCACACAGCATGTTTTCAGGGGCCGTGAATCATGTGAAAAGTATGGAGAAAGTGGTGAGAGAGAGATCAGGGAGTGGTGCAGTGTGTGACAGCTCACAAATCAATAGTGCTGACTGAACTGTTTAGAGAAATAGTGGGGTTATACAGAATAATGTATTACAATGTCAATTTGGTTTTATAGTTAATTTATCAGGGCCTATAAAACAAAGGCTGGCTCCAAGTTACTGTAAATGTGTTCTTTGTAAGCAGTAAACAGGTTTTTGTTCTGAGAAGCCTTTTCAAAGAGATGCATTTTTCGACACATTAATACATTTTTAATTCACTCCAAACACAGTGGTGATAAACTACTACTGTAGCCACAGGTGCCCTGGGGCACACTGACAGATGTGAGGCAACCATCATGTGCTATTAGCCCCTCTGACCACCACCAACCATTCTCACACACTTATTTTCGAACCCAAGACCTTCTTGCTGATAAGTGAGACTGCTATCCACACAGCCACCGTGCCCCCAATGTGGGTGAAGTGTTTTGCCCAAGGACACGATGACAGTTTGGCCCTTTGCAGTCACAGTCATTCTGTGGCACCTGGCATTCTTAGAAGTCTCTCATCACAGTACTAACCAGGTCCTGTTCTGCTTAGCTTCAGAGGTCTTGTGGATTTGAAACTTTCATACCAACTACTTTTAAAAACGTAACGTTTGCTCAGCCGCCCCAACTCTATGGAACCCACTCCCACAAAATCATGTAAAAAAATCAATTTAATCTTATGTGTCCAACTGACAAAAATCGACTTTGTGAATGGAATAAAACCAAATCATGAAAACATGAATGTAACATGTGAATGTGTCCATGATAACCCTTAACTGTTACATGTGTATTTGAGTGTAAGTGAGTTGATCTGTGACTGACCGTTGGCGGAGGGGTCCCGTCCCGCTCGTCTGTCCTCTGCCCACGGAGGTTGACCACATGCACCTCCTCAGGCAGAGCGCTGGTGCCACGGCTCGCACATCCAGCCAGAGCAGTGAAGCTTTTGGACAGTGCCTGCACCGGGTGTCCCTGTCCCACCGGGAGCAACTCACACGGGCTACGGAACATGGGGCCTGCGACAGACAAGGCATTGGGCTGTAAGCAACAATGAACATATCATTCTAATTTTAATGCAACATAAAATCATTGCACACGGCTGTGCCAAAAATCAAAAGATCGAAAAATAGCATTCTTAGCTTTTCTCAATGTGCATCAAAAAACATTTTTACAAAAGAATTAAGCTTTTCTTCAATCACCTTTCAACATTGTATGGCTTCAATATGCACACTTCGATTTAAGAGTCTTTCTTATGTCTGTGCGGTATATGTATATGTTTATATGTAAGTATGTGGAATTTATAAATGGAATTAAAAAAATTAAAAAATTATTGAAAACCAAGATCGATCAATGAGGAAACATGAGATAAAACAGTCTGACTATTTTTTGTTCAGCCTTAGTGACATGAATAATCTGAAATAGGAGTTTGCATGTTTCTCCTCTGCCATGACAAAGACGAGTATCAGGTGCCCTGACAGATTGCCCAAGTTAGCTTAAAAGTATATAGGAGGATTTTCCCAAATATTAGGAAAGAAACGCCCTCCCGATTCTTTCAACATAACTCTCTGTTCTTATTTGACAAGCACGTATCACCAGAATGATTGACAATTGGGAGGATCAATGATCCATCCAGAAGTAGAAAATCCTCCTCTATACCTTTAACCTAACATGTTATTAATATAATAATTATGGCATCTTTGGCCACAACCCGAAATTCCCACACATTAAACTTTGAGCATTTATAAATTTTTATTTTACAATCCTTCATTGGCCTGAAAATTAATACACTCACCTTGTGTAGACTTTCCGGTTAAAACAAACATTGAAATGAGAAAATACAGTTGCGGATATGTAAGAACCTAAACCAATTACCTTTGTACGGTATAACAAATAACCTGAATTACTTTCAGACGAGTCACAGGTCACTATAATCTCATAACAATATCTTGAAGCTATATAAATCAAGTTACCAAATGTTTGACAAAGTAACCAAACAGAACTTTCCTCTCACATAACTCACGCACATTATGAAGGATATTCTTGTGGTCAGTATTTTTACTGCAGATCTGACCCTCTGCGTTAACCTGCCGTCTGGTGCCAGCCGGAGCAGCTCTCATTTCAAACACATCGAGCTAAACACGCACCATCACCAACAGCAATCAGATGGAGCATTTGGAAACAATTATAGCCATAAGATAGTTTGACAACATTCGGTTTCATTCCTCAACAGAGCGCCTCGCAGCCGGGGGTAAAGCCAGGGGATGCTTCCAAAAAACGGAGGTAGTGTTTTTAATTTGTTCATTTTAAAAGGAGTGGAAGCTGGATCTCCATAAAGCCAGGGTCAATGTATGGTAAATCTCATCTCTCCATGTTGTGGGGAAAAAAGCGAGGGCTATATAGTTTGTATAAGGGTCAGAGGTGCAAATGTACTATAACAAAATAAGATATTATGATTTGGCAGTTTTTTGTTTTGTTTAGATTGGGAATACATTAGATAGAATACATTGATGAACGAAATTGGTTATAATATCTTAAAGCATCCTGATTCAAAAACTGAATTATCACTCAAATAAATGTGCACAACATTATTTTCCAGGTGGAACTTTTTTCTTGGGCCCATCTAAATTATGCCTGAAATGTTCCCTCGTATGGCATTAAATAAATAAAAAATATACAATTACAATGCAGACAAGCAAGTGGCATCTATTTCTGTGCTTGTTTGAATGTCACAAAATTTATTTTAAAAGCAACAAAAACAAATTGGTATTTTGCTTCAGAAAATAAGAGACATATGAGATAATATAGCAATAATTTTGCCCCATAGAAAGTGTCCTCAATGATTGTAAATGTTCTAGAAACATTTAGTTGCAATCTGTAAGTGATGTTCATACATACATCATATATAAAAAATAGATATAATATAAAAGTGATGGCTGACTAGAAAACGTAAACATATTGTATGTAATATGTATAAAAAAAACATATAAAAGTTATAATTTGAACAAGTGAACGCAAATTCTTCTTCAATCTAGAAAAAGTGCAGGGCTAATCTCATGTTGGTTTTGTGAGAAAAACATGGGCTTCTTTATTGTTACCATATTTGTCATTTGGGGATGCTCGCTCTGCACATGTCCGGACCTGGAGATGGGAAGTCACTCTGGGATGTGAACATGTGTTGTGTCTCACTCTGGTAATAAGATTAAGAACAGTTCAAAGTATATTGAAACTGCCTTGAAACATAAACTTAAAATCTATTTTGTCCTTTTGTCAGTGAGTCCTTCTGGTCTCTCTCTGGTAAGTAAAGTCAAAGTTAATGTCATGACATATTCTTTACTCTGTAAATTGATAAATTGATTGTGATTGTTCTGTTGTTCAGTATGAGCAGATGTAGCTCTTGTGTGCCTTTTATCCCTGTTCTGAACTATATTCAATATGTAAATTTCGATTGTAATTAGCTTTGGGGTGCGGTGCTAATAAGCTTTTGCTTCAGCCCACTCCTTTTGTGCAGTATTAATACTGTTCAAATAAATAAATAAATAAACATACAAATAAAACATGGTGCTGATGAAAGCACAAGGTTTAATGCTGAAAACCTGCGCCGCATCTGGCTTTCATGAAGTTGAGATATGAGCCTACTGAGCCCTATATGAAATGAAAATAACACAAGTGCAACTGTAAAATGTTTAAACAATAAACAATACATGTAGAATTAAATATGAATTATATTACCACTATGCAATTTACATTAATGGAGGATCTATACATAAAATTAAGAAAGTGTCAACAAATTCAGTCAATAAGTTATCAAGAATTAAGCAGGTTTAGTTGAATGGTTATATTAGTACATTAGTAAAAGTATCATTCTGAAATGCCCTTAAGAATTGACCCATGAATTGTCCTCTGTAAGATACGATTCGGAGAAACTCACATTTTCCTTCTCAAAAAAGACATTTCCAAACAATGAATAAACAAGCAAACACACTGCCAACGGAAAACTGGTAATATATTATTTACCTGAGATTCAAGACAATGGAGTAAACACAAGCTGGAATTTAGGGAAAGCCTGCAGTTTTTAAATGTCAAGTTTAATTCAGCTTGCTCTTAAACAGGGATTAACCAATAATGAAGGCTGTGTGGCATGCGTGTGTGGAAGATCTGTGTACACTTACTCTGCTACATCAACTGAGAAATTAGAACAAACTTAATGGAGAGAAAAAACGTTTAACCTGAGACCCCATTTCAGTGCTTTTAGGAGATAAACATTTGTTCATACAGAATGACTAAAACCAAAATACACATGAAAAAATGGCAAGAAAAGAAACGTTTATAGAAAGTTTCCATTCAATTTTGTCAATAACCATTTCATGTCTCATTAACCAATTTGTAAACTTGGAATACTGCTAAGACTGCGGTTCGGAGATGAATTCTGTAATATAATCCTATCCCCTGGACACTCTAAACTGCTGCATATAGGAGACTTCAAATCCCAAGGAAGAGTGGGTTCAAAGGAGCTAGGTCTGCGTTAAGGGCTTTTAAAATGTCACTGATCCCAACTGAGAACGACAGACAAAGGCCATCATCAATCTACAGACTGTCAAGGTCAAATACAAGAGTCATGTCACATCTGTTTTTCCCATCAGCCTGTGGGGTTCAGCGAGCTCCCAATAAGCTCAAGGACAAAGGGGCCTATACTTGAAGATGGCAAAAAAAGAGCTTTCCGGTAACAGATAAACAGTACCAAGTGAGTTGTCAGGCTGTGTGCTCGTACATGTGTCTACCTGCTTTTCACAGATCTTGTTAATTTTTTGACTTGACAAGCAGTGTAGGGCCTGGTTAGTGTGTGGATGGAAGATTACTGGGACTGTCACAGTGTCACAGTGGGACGGCTGTAAAGTGCAGATTGATTGTGGTGATCTGATGGAGCAGATTGGCATCATTGCATCTGTCAGTTTGGGTAAAGTAGAAGCATATCATCAATGTGAAATAAATTCAAGTGAAAGAAAAATGCATTGTACATTCATTTGAAGTCCGATGCTATACATGTGGAACAGGGGTGTCCACGCCTCTTAGTAAGTTTGTAAGTAGTGAGTATGTAGTAAGTTTGTAAGTTTGTAGACTGGAGCTCACAACCCAGATTGTAAAATGTGTATTAACCAGTAATATACCTTTAACATGAGGTATGACATATCAGTACATATGGATTCACACTTGCGGGAGCTGAACTTGGCTGAATGATAAATATTTACTTTCTCACCTACATTGCTGTATAGAGAATGCTGTGCCTTATTGTCAGTATAGTCAAACAAGATCATGTCCATTGGCGGAGTTGAAGTTGGCAGGATGACTGTGTGCTTATGCTTATTATCTCTGTGCTATACAGACCACAAATGTTAGCATTGTACACCTACATTTGGAACTACATTTGGAAAACTAGCTGTACAGCCAATACTGACATCTTTACAGTAATGTTGATTAAGGTGTACTGTCCCTATTCAAATTAATTACTACATGAAAAACAAGATAAATAGAAATAATAATTGGAGGGTCATTCCATCAATGAAACCCACATGAAGGCACAGACCACTCCTCCATAGCTTGAGTCCTCAATTTAAGTCACTTACTAAATAACCATCACCCATGCAAATCTGCTAGCTAATACTTTGACTATTATACTAGTCACATTTTGATCTGTCAGTAACAGAGCTAAAGCAAAAGTCATCATCTGGCATATATACATATTTAACGGTAAAAGAAATTGTTAGAACTTGGAATTTAATCCGAAAGTTAGTTTTTGTTTTATTTTCTTCAAACTGACCTTGGACAGCTGACGCAGTCAAGAATGTAAGTACATTACTAATAAATTGCCATGACATTGAAGAACATGTTATTGCTTGTATATGTTACTAGTTAGTGACATTTGTTTTAAAGCAGAAAAACAGTATTTTTCCTTCTTCAATGGGGTGACAAGCTTTCAAATCATTTTCATTCCTTGTCCAAACACTGCTCTCCTTCTGTG